GTTTTGCCTTGCCTAGGGCAGCCCCAAACCAGAATACACCACTGCGTTCAGGGACCACCAATTGAAATAGATCCGACTGACCCGGATCGCCTTGGTATGCGATCTGGGCCAGTCACAATTAGGCAGCGCCGGCCAATAAACAGGTTGGTTAGACGTCTGCTTCCTCTTCGCTAGGACCCCCGGAGGCCCCCGCAAGCGGCCGTCTAATCTGCCTGATTGTGACCGGCCCGACTACAGAGGCGATCCGGGACGTTCGGGTCCCCCGTGAGAGCCGTACAAGGCCGTAAGTCAGTGATGTTGAATGTTTCTTGAACCCGAGCGCCCAAACTGCAATACTAAACTTATTTTCAGCGCTGGCACTTTGAAATAAATAAATTGATTTTGCGTCACAGTTTGGGCACTCGGGTTGAAAAAGGTTCGCCATCACTGTCCTAGATTGTTAACTTCTCCTGCCTCCTCCAAACTCTTCACCCTTTTGTGAATAACCCTGTGAGAGTTTCATACTAAAAAGGAACTACACTGCCAAATCCCCTCCGATTATTATAATTTTTTTACATCACCACGTACCGTGTCCGTATGATTATCCTAAAATAACATTATCCACACTTTCAGCTACTCCAACGTTGTTCCTCCTGCAGTCTGCTGATCTGATGCCGCATGCCAGGTTCTTCATGTCATCAGGGTCCCTTCCTGCAACAACCAGTAAGAGACAGTCAGCCCCCTGTTGATGCTGTAGAGCACCCCCGAACCCTCCTGGGATATGGGCATCTCGCATCTCAGGAGACTTCGGGGTGGTCTATAGTGCATGCCAGTGACGTGCGGTACCTTTGGTTCCGGGTGAGGCATTCCCCAGCCTCCCCCCAGCATGTCCCGCAGCCTGATGATGCCCCGCCCTTGCCCAAGCCCCACCTCCTACCCGCCCAAGCCCCACCCCCTAACACGTCCCCATGCCTTTAACACAGAGTAGAGGCTGTGACAGCTCTTGCCTCACTAGTTAGGCCCCATTCACACTGAGCGATTCGCAAATCGCGCGTTTGTCACGCGATTTGCATTTTGCGCTATATCGCGTGGTTTGTCGCGCGATATCGCGCAAATTGTTGCATTGAGCAAACTAGAATTGCGGCAAAATCCGCTCCAAAAAGGGTCCTGCTATAGCGACGCACGACCCGCGACAGCGACGCCATGCATTGGAGAGCGATATCGCGCTGTAAATATCCACGATATCGCTCAGTGTGAATGGGGCCTTAGGTTACACAAGCAGTGGGAAATCCCGCTGCTGTGTAACCTAACTACCTGTCAAAAGACGGATGCAGCACTGCCTGTAATTAAAAGGCAGCACTCCGTCCATGACAGGTTACACAGCGGGGAGGACTTCCCTGCTGTATAACCTGTAACAAGCCGATCTGAATGGAGAAAAAGCTGTCGGCTTCAGACTTGAAGCTGACAGCTTTTTCCTCCATAATAGGTGAGACTCTGCCTCCCCTGACCGCACATGCCCATTTGAGAATCCTGGAAGTGCTGGGAGGGGTGCCAAAATAAAAAAGGGTATTTAGGCGGGAATTTAATATCCAATTATGAGAGAAGAAGGCATTTAGGCAAAGTAGGTGGGGAGGGAGAAGGTCCGCTTTAAGGTTCCCCTTCCATCACCTTCTTATAACTAACAATAGTGGCCCCTAGGTCATAATATTTGGCCCCCTTAGCAGCTGCCCTGTTTCTAAGCGCGAATACGGTGTTCACTCCCACAGCTTATCACAACAATATGTCACTGCCCTTTAAAGAGAATAACATTCCCTCAGTTTTGAATTATTCATTCTGTTTACTTCCAGAAAATGTTCTCTCAGCAATCTGAGGCCTATTTTGGCTTTGAAATAAAATCAATACTAAATTTCAGAAGTGAATTGAAAATATCCATTAATGGTTGTGCATAAGCCAAAACGTGAGATTTGTTACACAGAATACAGAACCAACCAACGTTTGTGTTATATAACTTGGAAATATGAAATAAGGAATCTCACCGCTGGAAGCCATGGCTGCAGCCGGGGAGAATAAAACTATGGGAGCCATTGCTGACAATTTGGGTTTTATAAACAGTTGCTTTAACCCCTTCGTGACTGACGACGTACAGTGTACGTTTCACATTAAAAAAAAGCAACTGCCACCATTTAATTCTACATTGCTATATTTTCAGAAAATATATCATTCGGGGGGGTTAAATAATCTTCAGGCCTAAAATGTGCATTTTTAAACGGCTCCAGCAGTGAAAGGTGGCCTAAAATAGAATTAAACCTTTGTTGTATTTTTACATATATTTACTGCTAGCAAGCACTAGATATATGCAAAAGCATTAAAAAAAAATAAAAACATTAACAATTAGGTAATTACTTACCCGTGTCTCTGCCGCTCGCTGCCGGCTGAAGATCTAAAGATTCTCGAAGGATCATGGGGCGGGCGCATGCGCAGTAGAGACCTTCGGCCGGGAGAAGAGGAGAGACACAGGGTAAGGCAATGCAAGCAGCTGGGAGCATGCAGGCGCACAGACTACGTGGGACACGTAGTCTGGGACAGCTGAAATCAGCCGTATATTGGCTGCCTTCGGTCAGCCGAAGTGCAGAAGGACTCCGACTCAGCCGATCCAACTACTGGATTGGCTGAGCTGCAGCTCCGGCAGCTTACTCGCTGACGTTCGCTCCTATTCTCATAGGGGCCGAATGGCAGTGAATGAATAGCCGAATGCCGCTGAGTGCCATTCTGCTCGGCTTTTCTGCTCACTACCTCCATGGTACCGAGCAGAATAGCAAATCAATGAGAATAGTTAAAAAAAAAAGTTGAACAAATAATGTTAAAATGTAAATAAATTGAAGAAAGAAAAAATTAAGATTTTTTTAAATAGAAAAAAAAATAATAAAAAAGAAAACAAGCAGTGACAGCTAGCTTCACCCAACTGTTTCCTATTGGCCGGCATGTGCTAGGGTCTTCTAGCAGGTCCTGGGCGAAGCCGGCCGTTCACCAAGCATTGGTACTGTCACATGGAAAGAGGCCATGACATCTGCCATCAGCTAAATGGAACAATGGTGGAGGGGCAAAGGAAAGTGTGTATGTGTTACTCCTGGGGGCAGCTGTCATTTGCAGGGCAAACGGCCGGCCTTCGCCTCGCTTTGTGTGTCACTTCGGCACTTTTATCTGGGGACAGCCTACTGAAAGTGGGAACACCCGGACACCCTAGCTTAAAGTGACATTAAACCCTCAGATTTTTTAACATAAACCAATACTGTAATGTGTGCCTTACAGTAATCCATGGTAGTTTCCCTTCTCTTTGCTGCTCTTCCTTTTAAATCTGTATCTGTTCTCATGCTGGGCAGAACTTCTGTTTTGCAGCAGACTGCCTTGTCTCTGGAATAGATACATGGTGTCTGTGTGCAGGTTCACAACCTGAGCCAGCACTACAGGAAGAGGCACTCAGCTGCAAAGGGAAGTTCTCCCCAAGCATGAGAAGACATGAGGATTTAAAAGGAAGAGCAGCAAAGAGAAGGGAAACTACCATGGATTACAGTAAGGCACACATTACAGTATTGGTTTATGTTAAACAATCTGAGGGTTTAATGTCACTTTAAAGTGTACCTTAACCTCCTAAAAAAAATAGAATTTAGTCCCTTTTTGTCTGTTAAATATACATTTGAAAGTGTTTTGTTATGTCTGGTTATTACGTTACAAAACATACCTGATAGAAATCAAGTAAGCATATATTTTTCTGTCCTGACAGTTATCAGTCGCAGTGTCCCCAGGTATGACTTAGGACTAATTAACTGCACTCTTCTACGGTATGTATAATATGAGAAAGTGATGGGTTCTGTAGTCCTATCTTGTTTCTGTCGCCCTAATACAGGATGCGTTGTCACCATGGGAGAGGAAGTGTGTAACTGGGCAGATCAACCACTAAAAATAAAGGAAAAATAGCTTGGAAAATGAAAACTAATGCGACCACCACATTTAAGGGCTGGTAAGCTGCAACGTATTACATGTTGTCTCAGAAACGTTTGGGGGAAAAATTCTCAGTCTTCAGAAAAATGGCGCCTGTATGTGACAGCGGACGTTCTGTATCAGAGACATATTATGGTTGGTATTTCCACCTCTAGGCGTGGCAGATTTAGAGTCTCCGCTCCTTTCAGGCTGGCGAGCGCTGAAGGTTTTGCGCATGCGCTGTGAGCTGAGGGAGTTCCGCTTGCGGGTGAGGTGACGTCATCGCAACTCCAGCGCCGCCAGGAGAGGAGGAGCGGGGTTCGTCATCGCCGGCCTCCGCCATGGCTGCCATATTGGATGGGAAGTGAGCTGCATCCCTCCGCCCACTGAGATTAGCGGCGCCGGTGCTCGTCCATTCACTGTGCTGTAAAGATTCCCCGGCCGCCGCCAGCAGCCTGATTGTTGCCGGTCACACCGAAGGGGCGAGAGAGCGAGCAAGATGGCCGACCCGGCGGAGTGCAGCATCAAAGTGATGTGCCGCTTCAGGCCTCTGAATGATTCGGAGGTGGTGAGAGGGGACAAGTATGTGGCCAAGTTCCAGACAGAGGACACTGTGGTGATCTCGGTGAGTGTGGGTGAGGGGCACCGGAAATCCAGCCTCGTGTCTGCTGACTGACAAGTGTCACTGTGCCCTGTCAGTCATGGCTGCACCTCCCTTCTGTGCTCTGACACTCTGGGGTACCTACCACCCCGTCACACTGGCAGTGGGATACCCGCCCTTCCTGTCCCCCAGGCACTGGGGTTCCTGCCAGCCATATCCGGGCCTCCCTCATATTTTCTGACACTGGGGTACCTGCCATCCCCCTGCCACCCTTGTGGTTTACTTGTCATCCCTCTCCTCCGGGTACTGGGGTAACTGCCATTCTTGTCCCCTGAGGACTGGGGTACCAACCACCCCGTCACACTGGCAGTGGGATACCCGCCCTTCCTGTCCCCGGGCACTGGGGTTCCTGCCAGCCATATCAGGGCCTCCCTCCTATCCTCTGACCCTGGGGGGTACCTGCTGTCCCCATGTCCCTGGGGGGTACCTGCTGTCCCCATGTCCCTGGGGGGGTACCTGCCGTCCCTGTCCCCTTGTCCCTGGGGGGTACCTGCCGTCCCTGTCCCTTTGTCCCTGGGGGGTACCTGCCGTCCCTGTCCCTTTGTCCTGGGGGGGGTACCTGCCCTCCATGCCCCCCTTGTCCCTGAGGGGTACCTGTCATCCTTGTCCCTGGGGGTACCTGCCGTCCCTGGGTTTACCTGCTGTCCTTGTGGCCACTTGCCGTCCTTGTCCTTGGGGGGCACTTGCCATCCCTGTCCCTGGGGGGCACCTGCTGTCCCTCTGCCCTGGCTTTTATTGAGTTTTAGGGCAGGTGAAATGGCAGTTCGGTGTGAAGACTGGTGTAGTTGCAGTATTTTTATGAATTGATACCACGGGTTCTCTGTTCTAAATATTCAATTAGAACAAATAAACTTGGGGAATGCCCCTTTGGATTTTCTAGGTTGAATTGTTCTAATTGAATATTTCTCTATTTGGGCTGTGACTGGGGAGCTTTGCCAGTCACATCTTATGTCACCCGTGCTATGACAGTTGTTGTTGCCATTTTGTAAGTTCTGCCAGTCTTTTTTTGATGCCACAGTTGGCAGTGCACCAGGGGTACCAGCCACAACAAGCGGGCCCCAATTCTAATGTTGTCTGGTGCTTCTGACTTCCTGCCAAGATGAAGGACTTGTGTCTGTGCTCTGTGTTCTCTTATACTGAATAGCTGTTACTTTTGGCAGCTCTGTAGTTTTCTAGGGCCTATCCCAGACTGTATCAGAGTTGCAATTTGGTATAGTTGACATTAAGATTACTATACCTTAGAAATAACAGAGGGGCAGGTCACTGTCCTTCAGACCTTAGGCTGTACTGTGGCCAGCAGGAGTAGAAAATACCCCAGCATCAGTGATCAATAAGAGCAATGCCCCAGAGTAGGGCCCTGTCGCCGGGGGTCGGAAGAAGGGCCCTGTCGCCGGGGGTCGGAAGAAGGGCCCTGTCGCCGGGGGTCGGAAGAAGGGCCCTGTCGCCGTTGGGCGGAGTAGGGCCCTGTCGCCGGGGGTCGGAAGAAGGGCCCTGTTGCCGGTGGGCGGGGTAGGGCCCTGTCGCTAAGATTGGTTTAACTAGAATAGTAGTTGTTACCGTTGTGGTTGTATTTTTGTACCTTTGTTCCCCAAAGAGGGCCATGTAATATTTTATCATATCTGACATGGTTCTGGTGGATGGTTTACGATGTAGCGTGTAGTCACCTGTAACAAGTTTCCGTCGGTCTATTGATTTGCTTCTCCCAAGATGTATATCATTTTCTCTGTGGTCTGGTGTCTGTTAATGAAGACTAGTTGTACTTTGGAGTGCAATATTTAAGCAGATATGTATGTTGTGAAGGAAAGCTGAGATTCATGGGATCTTGTGCAGGAGACGTTCATTTTAAGGTGGCTGTACTTTCTGTATTCTGATGGTCAGGAAATCGGAAGTGGGCCCTAATACATATCCAGAATTGCCAGGTCTATGCTCATGGGTGTATATCTTGTGCTTCATTACTGCCAACTCAGAGGCCGTTCTTTTTGCTGAGTTTGTGTATCTTGTATTGTTAGTAGGATGAGTCTTGGCTCAGAAGCTCCGTCCTTCACCCTATAAAATCAGGCCAATTAAGATGGTAACCTTTCAGAGAATGCATAATAATGTGTGTTTTTATTTTCCTGAATAGATAGAAGTATTGCTCTTGTTCTGTAGAATGGATGCTTTTTGGTGGGTGGGTGTTTTTTAGTTTATCATTGTTATTTACAGTGCTGATGAGTCCAAATAGTAGTGTAGTCAAAGCCGCTGGGTCCTGACGTTATGAATTTTCTATTGTCAGGCAAAACGTTTCTTTATTGTTTCTAAGAATAAAAATACCTTCTATGCTAATGTTATCAAAGAAAAAAGATCCAACACTTGAATACCTCGCCTTACCAAACAGAACTACAATAACGATGCAGACTAGAAATCTTAAGCTATCGGCATATTGCATAAAAAAGACACCAAGATATAACTGATGTGCAGCGTAAGTGACAACACAAAATAACAAATAATTACACAGAAATATATCCACTTAAATAAATTGCAATGTATTGTAGTGAATCTGTGTCCAATGAGACTACGTATCCCATTGATCACATATTAGGTGGAAACATCCTGCAGTGCCTTTCCTCACTCCACCACACTTAAAATAACCATACATCTTAAAGTGACATTAAACTCAGGAGTTAAATCTTAAAAATGCATCCAAGTACCTTTTTATATATTAACCATAATGTGTCTTATTTGTGTATCACTCGGCCGTAGTTCCTCAAATCATCTCTGAATTGGTGCTGACACTGTCCTTCCTTCTGGAGGGTGACTACTTTTGTTCCCCATGGTCTCTGAGTGTAGTGTAAAGTAGTCACCACTCCAAGCTCACTCCCGTGATGGACTACAATCTCACGTTTAGTTTACTCATTTGTATTGAGATTGTAGTCAATCACGGGAGTGAGCTTGGAGTGGTGACTACTTTACACTACACTCAGAGACCATGGGGAACAAAAGTAGTCACCCTCCAGAAGGAAGGACAGTGTCAGCACCAATTCAGAGATAATTTGAGGAACTACAGCCGAGACATATACTAACCTCCTGTGACCCAAATAATAGTTCAGGTACTTGAGTTTATTATTAAGGTGTAACTCCTGAGTTCAGTGTCACTTTAAGATCTCTCCTGAAGCTCCATTAGGATTAATGAGAAAAATCTGTTGATTTCCCTATCAGCGCAGATGAAGGAATCTTTTCCGCCAGCCATTGTATTCAGCAGTGGTGGGACCTGCATCTGATTGACAGAAGTCACTGGTCAGCTGATAATTTTCCACTCGGCTCCTTCAACAAAAGTTGAATGAAAAAGCAACTGCTGTTGAGCTAGGGGGTTCTGACAGGGCCACCAACAACTCAAAGTTTGGGGAGGGGGGGAGTCCCGAGTGGCCACGCACTGCACTCACCTCCACTGTCTGACACCTTCTGTGTTGTGCTTGGGCCTAAAAGGGGAACTATGAGGTAAGTGTTTTCCCCACAGTTCTCTTTAGGGTCACGGGAGGACATATACTAACCTCCTGTGACCCAAAGCTCAGTATCACTCCAAGTTTTCTACAAAACAAAATCCTTTTATTCATTCTTGCAGGTCATATCACCATGTGTGGCAACGTTTCGGAACCTGCCGGACTCTTCATCAGGCAAACAAAAATGACTTTTGCCTGATGAAGAGACTTGACAGGTTCCGAAACGTTGCCACACATGGTGATATGACCTGCAAGAATGAAAAAAAGTATTTTGTTTTGAAGAAAACTTGGAGTGCTGGTGACCATTTTTTCTGTTTTGTAAATATTTGGCGGCGCCATCCGTGGCCACTTCAGCACCCCCCCCACATTATATGGGGCTTCTCAGTCAGGAGGGCGGTCGGACTTTCTATTTGACCAAAGCTCAGTATATCGCGAGCTACAGCTGCAAACGGGATGGATCTCGACAATACTGTCTGGATCTACCCAGCTGCGTGAGTGACAGCGGGCTCTGCCTATCTAGAGGCATAGCCAGCTGTACCCGCCCCATCCCCGTCCGTTCCTCCAGTCAGCGTTGGAGGATCGGAGCGGGGAGGAATCCCTGCAGGGAGCCATGATTGACAGTCATCGCTCTCTGCAGGGAGATGATCGAGAAGTGAGCGAGCGACGGTATGCGTTCGCTCACTTCCCGATATATTGGAGCCGGCGTGTGACAGTTTAATCGTCACGTGTCGGCTCGAACTATGAGGGTGAGTGAAAATCACTCACCTCATAGTTGTCCTTTTAAACCCCCTTGCAACACTTGATTTGAATGGAAGCCAATAGCCTTATTATCTTATGTTCTTTGTGGATCACCTGCCTGTCGTCTGCAACTGACCTTCTATATAAAGCATTTGCATGTAACAATGTTGCCAGACGCAATCATTTAGCAAATAGTATTAAATGATCTCTTGCAGTAAATGTCTGAGATCCATCCTCTCTGTTAGGCAGAAGATGAGAAGCGATGTGTTCTTGGGGTTTGATATGCTTCAATGGCAGTGACTCGGTCACTTGCAGCAAAAGCCTAACCGTGTATGAACAGAGGCCCTATACTTGTCTTTCTGGTGGGCCCGTGTCTTGAAATGCTGCTGCTTGTAAGTGTGTGTGGAATACTTGCTTCTCCCACTGTATTGCCCTGTGGTGACAGGTTCACTTTACAAATATGTACTGTTAGAATATCAGCCGAAATGCTAACAGTAGGTGGCCCTGCTGGCGTGACAAAAGTCAATTTCTCATTCAAATGCAGTCGCTAGTATTCAACAAGCAGTGGGTGACGGCTGTCGGAATACAGTAGGCTGGTGGGTGGATTCCTCCATCAATGCCGTTTAGGGTAGATGGAGGAATTTGGTAGATTACTTTTAGTTCTACCTGCAGAAAAAGCTTTAAGGCAGGGGTGGAAAAAAAAATATGGAATTCAGGAGGCAGTCTGTCCAGTCCAGGAGCCAGTTCGGT